ATATGCTGTAACCACGGCTGTATATCTCATTAATAGACTTCCTACGCGTGTGTTACAAGGTGTTTCACCTTTTGAAAAGTTGTTTCACTGGCAACCTGATTATAACTTCATGAAGGTGTTTAGATGCAGGTGTTTTCCATATTTGTGAATGTTTCAAAAGCACAAATTCATGTTTTGATCCCAAGAATGTACCTTTCTAGGGTACAGCCCTCAACACAAGGGCTATCAATGTCTGGCAACGGATGGACTAGTTTACATATCTCGTCATGTAAAATTTGATGAACTAATGTTTCCTTTTGCAGAACTGCAATCTTCTCGTAGTTCGGCTAGAAAGCAATCGCCTGTGTTGGTTATAGTTGTGCCTCTCATATTCCCTCTATGCCTACTAGTTCAAACCTGCCATCTGTTGATAACCAGTGTGCCTCTCTATCACAAGCATTTGTGTGTCCTCCCACAACTTCTACTCCTGATGAAGAAGCATGCCATAACTCTCAGGTACCTGAACAGGGTACCTGAACAGTCAGTAGCTGAGCCGATTATGGTGTCACGACCGAATACAGCAACCAATATTCATCCGATGTGCACACGTAGCAAGGCTTGTATCTTTAAGCCCAAAGCTTTCATCAGCATCCTGGATAAAGTAATTCCAGAAGCTGTATATGAGGCATTCAAGTCTGAAAAATGGACTGCAACTATCCATGATGAGCTTAATGCTCTTCAGCAAAAAGGCACTTGGACCCTGGTTCAACTTCCAGAAGGAAGGTCTGCTGTAGGTTGTAAGTGGCTCTTCAAAATTAAAAAAATGTTGATGGCACTGTGCAAAGACACAAAGCGCGCCTGGTTGCTAAGGGGTATTCACAAGTACCAGGGTAAGACTTTCAAGAAACTTTTAGTTATGTGGTTCGGTTCTCTACAATCAATATCATCTTGTCCTTGGCAGTTTCGAAGAAATGGCCACTTCGACAAATTGATGTCAACAATGTGTTCCTCAATGGTGGGCTGACTGAAGACGTGTTTATGCAGCAGCTGCATGGGTTTCAGGTATGTGATCCTGATGTCACGCCTCTTGTTTGTAAGCTACAGAAGGCGCTCTAAATTTAAATTGAAATCTCAGAAGGATAACATGTTAGAGAAAATTAATGTAAACCATCGTCTGAAGCATGATAGTTGAATTGGTTCCAACGGTTAAAATTCTCGTAAATGAAAAGTAATATAAGACGGTCATATAGTGAAGGAGGATGCTCCTGAAGAGACCCAAGACATAACTAAAAATACAACTCTAGAAGAGTTTCAAGCACCTAAAAATGAAAATAATGAAAAGATCTCGATAAATTATGTCATTATGAGAAAATAATGGAACCAAAAAAATAACAAAGTTATTGACAACAATTCTATAAACAATATTTCTATAGAAGTAAAGAACTAAAATGAGAATCTTATGGATTGAAATCTTTCCATGAGTATCAATGTCACACCCCAATTTTGGGGTTAGAAGTTCTGGAGACAAATTGAAATTCAGTACCTAATTTGTAAAGGTAATGACTAAACTGAATTCGAGGTAAAATCTAGTATCTGTTTTGAAAACCATAGAAAATTTGATTGCATACTCTGTAATGTTTTTCTTTTGACTGATTATGTTATATTCTCCTTGGACGTGCAAAAACTGACTTCATCGACCATTGGAGTCGTTGTTGTCATCATCTTAGATCTCAAACGTCGTTGTCAACTGTCGCCTTGTCAAGCTTGACGTCTCCTCCTTACCGGGAAACCACACACTCCCCAGTTACCGTCCCGGACTAACCGAAACTTGTGGCGTCGAACCCCAGCCCTGGCGTTCATTAGTTCCGATTGGTTTTCCTGTTAACCAAACTCTAAGGGTATTTTCAATTATTATTATTTTTTAGGGTAAAGTATATAAATAGTCCCCAAACGTTTAGGGCACTTACATTTCAGTCATCAAACTTTTGAAACTTGCAATACAATCATCAAACTTTTAGTTCATTTTCAATAAAATCCCTGCCGTTATCTCGTGTTAATTTTTTCTGATGTGGCACTTAACTCCCGTTATCTCCTCTCCTTCTTCTTCCCCAAAAGCCTCCCCTATAAACCCTAAATTTGTCCATGCTTTCCACTGAACTTATCGAATGTGAAGAAAAATGGAACTCTAAGAATGTATGTGATGGCAGCCATGGAAACTATCTTATTCATTTGTTTCAGACTAAAAATCCCCCCTTATCAGTTTAGTTGTTCTCAAATGAAAGAAGAAAATATTAAATGACACAGAGTTATTTGGGTGCAGAACTTATTGATTTGGGTGGAAGTGAACGAGCATTCTTTCGTCCCTAATTATTTGGATGCATCTTTACCCCTCCCAGTATCCCAGATGCATTAACCCATGTCTTTCTTCAAGTGCTTGTCCCAGGTATATCGTCTCATGTAATCAATTATTCCCAGAACAAGCTCTTTCCGCTCCTTATCCACTTTGACCAGGAATGAATAGTCCATGACATCAACCGACTGAAAACCACAAAATACAAGGTTCAAAACATTGCTGCTAGAATCGAAATACAGAAGGGCAAAACAACCTAAAGTGCAATGGAAGAACTTCGTTCACATCATGAAAATCTCGGTTATGGCATCGGTCAACTTTGAAGATGACAAACCATTTTACGAGTTCATGCTAAAAGCAACAAACCGTCGGAAAAGATGTGTCGTTCCAAATAGCTCTCTCAAGACTTCTCTTCGCCTTGCTTCCAAGAAAAATGGGCTCTGTTCGCAATGTTTCTAACAGATTCATGTCTAACAATACCTTGTTTCTTCCAGCTGTATGTAGATTATATCGTGATCGTGCAAAGCTCTTGAGATCATAAATCCTAGATGTACTTCTGAAAAATAGGTTCTCCACCACCACGAGATCCTTTTTTGTTTCCTTTCCATCTTTCAGGTGTTTTATAGAGACCTATCAAGCCATCCAAAAAACTTTACAATTAGAACTAATATATTAGATCCTCTATACTGCTACTGGAGACACGGAAAGAAAGCTTTGAAAATGAAAAGAGGAAAAACCATTGGACTTGTCAGCAACCCATTCATCATATTCTTTGAAACTAAGAGCATATGATATTATACTTGCAGCATCATTGTCATAAACAACAATATCACTATTGCCCCTCTGCAAGAAGTAGCCGAGCTTCTTCACCCAAATAACTGTGTCATTTAATATTTTTTTCATTTGAATTGGTTACTGGTATTCGATTTATTGATCAACTATTCCATATCGGGTACTGTAGAGATGAGGGCGATACTCCCAATCCAGTTTACTCCATTCGCAAACGTAAAGGTCGAACTCTGACGTTTGTTAAGAAATTTAGTGTCTCGTCCCACTAGACCAACTAGTTGTTGGTTATTAACTATTATTTTAATTTGTCATTTATCATTATTTTCAATATGACAGTGTTATTTGGTAGTCTCACTTCCCCTTCTCGAAAAGAGAAGCCATTCTTTTTATATTGTTTAATTATTATATTTATGTTATTTTGTTGGTTTTTGTTACGATTGTAGGAAGAATTACATAAAATTAGGTTAAAGGAGAAGAAAGATAGGTTGAAGAAAATCAGAAATTTGCATCAATTCATTCATAACGCTGTATTACATCTTTTGAGCATATATATTCCTTGCAATTCTTGTACTATTTCTATATTGACCTCTGTCTCCTTTGTCTTATTAGTAACAGAATAATAAAGTAGTAGCTGGCTGATAAATAACTGGGCTCCCATGGCTTAACCCATTTCCATCATGCTTCTCCTCCTTGACTGGTATGTACGGTTGTAAATGAGACGAGACAGATTGCGAGCTACTCGAGATCGACTCGATCAAGGCTCGATAAATACTTGGATCGAATGGACTCGACTCGAGCTCGAGCTCGACTTGAGTTCTTAACGAGCCGAAACGAACTACTCGATACTCGACTCGAAAAGCTCGTGTGTAGCTCGAAAAAATGTTATATTATAATTTTAGATTTTTTAAAATTACATTATTAAAAATACACTATTGATAATTATAACATTTTAAAAATATATTAAAAATTCTATAATACAACTACCCTCAAATTTTAATTATTGTCTTTTATAATGAACCTTAAACCATAAACCCTAAAACATAAACCATAAAGTCTAAATCTTAAACTCTAAATCCTAAACCCTAAATTGTACTTACCTCATAAATCAATACCAAATCAATCAATTAATGTCTTTGTAATGAATCCTAAACCCTATTCTATAAACCATAAACCCTAAATCCTAAACTATAAACCTTAAACCCTAAACCCTAAACCCAATTATGTGATAGGGGTTAAGTTATGCACATGAAGGTCACATACAAATTATGCAAAATGATGTTATGTGACTCCTAAATAAATCATTTGCATACTTATACATAAACATATCAACATGCAAAATAAATATACACAACTAATTAAAGAAAACAATCCTAAACTGGGACTAAATTAAGAGAACCTAAATGTGAGGACTAATTTAAGCTAAATATACTAACTTTAGAATGATGATTAAATTCACGTAAATGTAAAATTAAACTTAAAAAATTAGAATTAAACCAATGACTTAAATACAAAATGTGCATAAACTATAGGGTCTTATATGCAATTGATACTATTCGGTTTAAGCTAAAATAATATGGAAAATAACATAAATGACACCTGAACATTTAAAACAAATAAGAAAATTTAAACAAATGTGATTGAAATACAAAAATTAAAATATAACATACCAAACTATAAATTTATTAAACATGCATATACATATTAAACTAATGACTAAATTTAAATAAACGTAAAATTCAACATACAAATCAAGAATTAAATTAAGGATTTACAAAAGTGTGCTCAAGTTTGGGGGAACTATAACTTAATTTACCAAAAAATTAATATGAACCCTAAATTTAACTAAACCTAAACTAAACTCACGCACACAAAATACCAAACACAGCAGCACAGCCCTAATAGCAAAATTGCTCTCTCTGTGTGTCTTAGTTTGAAGCTTCAAGTGCAAAGTCAAGGGATTTGCTGGTGGAGAAGAGGATAGAGATCTCTCTGCCTTCAAAGTTTGATCCTTGAATTCAAAGCTTTATACTTATCTAACTTGTTCTTCCCTTCTATCTTTTTAGCTTTCTTTTCGTTTCTTTTTTTTTCTCTCCTGGCTCATGTCCATCTAGAAAGAATTTTTGTATCTATGTTGATGATCTAATGCTTCATTTCCCTCCTAAAGTACTCTGTCCAACACATATTTGAACATAGGTATGTGGTACTATTCTCCAAATATATGAAAGAACTTGTGAGAAATGAGTGTATCCGAGCCGGATACTATTCTTGTGACATAGCTGTGGATTGTCTTCGTCATTATTAGATTTCATCTGTAATTGAGCTGCAATTTTATATGTTTTTCTGCATATACCCTGAATACTGTGTTTTGAATTTATGCTTTATTGGATAGGAGCTAGGCAGAGTATATATATATAAATGCTTGTTATGGATTGTGTTGTAATCTTTAGTTTAATGGAAGTAATCTATTTTCATTAGTTAGCACAACCAACCACATCAAATTTCCTCTACTTTAGGACTGATTAACGGGTTTCTTCATTATTGTGTCACCTGATGAAACACTTGTAAGCTAGGTGTTGTTCCCTGTTTCTTGTGTTACAGAACTGTTATAATTTCATATGTAGCTGAGTCCTTACTAGTTTTCATTTTCTTTTTTTCTTTTTTGATTTGTTGTTAATTGAAACCCGATATCCCGTATGTTATGCTAGCATGCACAATGAGCCATAGAGGAAATTTCATTTGTGAAATTATATCCATTTTGTGCAGGTCACAGGGAGTCATGCTGGGGCTTCCCCTCATCAGCCATCTTCCTTTATTATTCTAGCTAGACAGTTTGTTACAGCAATGCTGGTTATGGATACTTGGCAATATCTGATTCAGAGTGTTTATTATTATTATCTGAACTTTGACTTGTGCATCAATGGATGGCATTTAGGTAACCTTTGGATGCTTTTTTTTGGTAATAGGTCCTGTAGCTGAAGACATGTTTCATTGGCAAGCAACAATCGTGGGCCCTTCCGATAGCCCTTATGTTGGAGGTGTATTTTTAGTTACGATTCATTTTCCTCCGGACTACCTTTCAAGCCTCCTAAGGTAATTTACTTCACCCGCGATGTTTTACTCTAGTGTTGATGATTGTTCGTATGATACTCTACACACTCTTTTCATGGACAATGTTGTTCTGTTGTATAGGTTGCATTTAGGACCAAGGTCTTCCATCCAAACATCAACAGCAACGGGAGCATTTGTCTTGATATCCTAAAAGAACAATGGAGCCCTGCACTAACCATTTCCAAGGTCTGTCCTTACTTCTGCTCTTTTTTTAAGAGGTTGTTTCTAAATGACGTGTAACTAAGAACCAATCAGCCGAATGTTCCTAAGGCATGGATTCGAGCATGGCCAGCATTTGCAGGCTCTGTCCCTTGTTGTGCTTGGTGCTGTGTCCCTTGTTTTGTGTGTCTGCAAGGCATGGATTCGAGCATGGCCAGCATGGGCGACAACAACATTGGTTTCGGTGGATGGCTGACCAGCATGGGTCATCCTCGGTGGGAACACGTGGGTGGCACACTGTCTCGGGCTTCCTCCTGGTGGATTTGCACCATATGTTAATATAATAAACATGAGTAATAATAATACTGATAATTATTATAAAAAAACTTCAAAGTTTATATTAATTATCTTAAATTTCTTGTAATTGTATTTTTGTTTTTTAGATTTTTTATAGTTTATACATTCATATTATATTGTATTGGTGATGGTTGATTAAAGGGAAAATTATTTATATATTTTAAATGCAATATAAGATTTTTGTATGTTCAAATTGGAGTTTGAGTTCGAGCTTGAATCGAGTTCGAGCTTGAATTGAGCTCAAGTCTCGAGCTTCAATCGAGCTCCTGAATTTTTTTTTGAGTTCGAGCCTTTTCGAGTTCGAGTCGAGTTTTAATATTATCTTTCAAGTTCGAGTCGAGCTTGAAAATTTTAGGCTTGCGAGTTTTCGAGTCGAGTCGAGCTTACATTTAAAGTTTTCGAGTTCGAGTCGAGCTCGGCGATACTCGAGCTCGACTCGGCTCGTTTACACCCCTACTGGTATGCTTCTCCCTATTAGTCATCAAAACGTTGTCGTCTTGCTGATCAGTTTTACAATCCCCTTTCAGATCGATTGCTTCTTCTTCTTCTTGCCCTAATTCCCAATCTCGTGTAATCCCTAATTTCGCCCAATCTCCCCCTTTTGCACCTGCCATCATGACAGTTTTATTCATCATGAATGCTACAAGAAGTACTACTGATATTTGGATGTAACCTTAGTGCTCTCACATCTTCCTTGTCAATTGAATCATTAATTCTGTGTCACCTCTCTTAAGAATCATCATTCATAGACTGATTTGATAGAATTGCAAACATGTTGTATCGCTTTTGTATGTTCTTGATTCAGATTATAGTATGCTTAACTCGGTTTGAACTTTGGGAGACTCATTAAGGTTTGGGAAATGTTAGGTTGTGGGTTGACGATTGGTCTTACTCGTATACAATCCATGACTTGTTTATCCAGTTTATTCGACGACATTCGTATGTCTTGTTTTCATATTCGATTTTTCTAATATAAGATCTGACCAAACTGGTCTTAAATTACCGACCTGAATTAGACTTGAACTGTTGACTTGAATCGGTCTGACTATTGACCATTGATCTTTGACCGTTGACTATTGACATTGACTATTGAATTTGATCATTGACAATTGACAATTATCTCTGACCGTTGAAAATTGACTTTGATCATTGGCATTTTCTGTTGACCATTTACCTTTATGTTTTTCGACGTCCCTAGTTCGTTTTGTCAAAATCTAATCCAAAAGCCACATTTTGCGTATTTCATTGTTTTATTTTATAATTATGTCAAGTAAACTATGGAATTTAAAGACTTACTCTTTGATGATGTGTTCTGAAGGTGATTATGTGTTGCCTCACTGTTCTCTAGTAGATCCAAACCATATCTGTTCGGCTCAGCTCAACTCAACTCAATTTTGTATGTTCGACTCGAGACACGCATTCCCATTCTGCAGGACCTAGTATCACTGATCGTGGAAAGCGTACAACTTAGCTGATATCGTTTAGTTGATATAAGTATGTTTTTCGATTTGTATTATATGTTTACTTTTTTCATATCGTGTTATGTTTTTCTGTTGTATATTACATTGTTATGTGCGATTTATGATTAATGTTATATTATTTATAATATGTACATTGATGAAAGCTTCTTTAGATTATCTACAGTAGTCTCAAGTTTCTCCTCGGAGGATAATATCTTTATCTTGTTTCATGTTTTCTGTTTTGGGGTTCCTTTTGGAGGGTACAGTCCCCATCATGTTTCTTGTTTTTTGTTTTGGTTTCCTCTTCGAAGGGTAACATCCTCATCATGTTTCTTGTTTTTTGTTTTGGGTTCCTTTTCAGAGGGTAACATCCCCACCATGTTTCCTATTTTTTGTTTTGGATTCTTCTTCGGAGGGTAACGTCCTCATCCTGTTTATCTATGGCAGAAGATAAGGTTATGAGAACTTATGTTAAGATATTCCGATGGTGAACAACTGATTTTACTGTTGCCTGATTTTTATGTTATTTATTACATCATGCTTAGATTATCTATGTTTTAATATTAATAGTTTATTGTACTTAGAGGACACAATGAGCTTTATACTCTTTTTTGGTCTGTTATTTTCAGATAATCCAGATGTAAGATTGTTTGACTATCGGAGGTGTAGTCTCGATTTTATATTGTATGAGGTTAAATATTTATTTTCAACCTCCTTATAATTGTGGCATAAGTTAATATTTGATAAATATTTTAAAAAACGATTTATCAACTTTCGTTGATCAATTCTCTGTTCATTATGACTACCTTGAATCGGTTGTAACTTCTAGGGGTTACATTTAGTGGTAGTTGAATAATTGGCCAAAATGGAAAGACGATATACAAGTGAAGTTAAATCAACTTCCAAAATATGGATAAATAGTCCAAACACCTAAAAGTGTAAAGCAAGTGGGATACAACTGAGTAGTCGTAAGATATATAATACGACTTGAATCATGAAGACTTTAACTTTGTGGTGGATGCAATTACTTTATTGCTCTGGCAGTTATGAAAAACTTTATAATGCGTCTAATTATTTTTTGATCCCTATGTAATGATATTTATCCCTTGAAAATAAAAATGCCATAAGCATTTGAAAATTCCTAAGAAATTTGTACAAATATATTTACTTAAATATTTAGATAGATGAATCGATCGAAGTGTGAATGATATATCCGAATCGATCTAAGTGTGTATTATATATCCGAATCGATGAGAGACTACTTGTTCATGTGTTTTATAAAGACATAAAGATCACATTATGATAATTATTGTATACTTTGAATTGAAACTCCGAGAGAGCTTTAAAATAATATTCCTGAAGAATTTCAAAAACATTTTGATTGTTTAAAGAAAATATTTAAGATACAAATCTTGAAATCAATTTTTATTTTTTTAACTTGAAGATTGAGTACTTAAATATGAATTTTGTCTATGAATGTGCACATGGTGAAATAATCTTAAAGAGATTTAATATGAATAAAACTATTAACCTAACATATCCAGGATATATGGGATTTGATTCCACATAATAAAATATTAACTATCTTTTACAAAGATAAATGTATAGTTCAGTTGAAAATAGTATATATCAAAGGAAATATATTTCCCTAAAGTTTCCTCCCGCGTGATCTTCGAAAGAATAAAAATATAAATATTTGACGAGTTCGTTCAAATTGTATTTTGAAAAGATCTACTCAGTGATGTATTGTTTACTTGACATTTGGAGATTGTGTTCAAGATTGAATTGTAATACTCAAAGATCTTATGTGATATGATAATGAGTGGGAATAAATATATGTTGTACTCTTTCTCTTAACCAAGGTTTTGTCCCACTTGATTTTCCTTGTAAGCTTTTTAATGAGGCAACATGATATGCATATTAAAGATATGTGTACTCTTTTTCCTTTCTTAAGATTTTTTCCTTTATTATTATGAATATTTATTTTTGTGAATGTCTATGTCTATCTTTATCTATATCTATAAGATAGGGTTTTCATATATTTTATTATTAAGACTTTAATATCAATTAGTTTTATAATTCTATATGATATCTATTCATTGGGCATATAAATATGTAATTAAGATAAAACATTATATACAACTCGTATTGAAATAATAACACATTTCTCTCATATCTTTATTCCTATTCTTCTTATTGCTTCGTTTAAATTATTTTATAACATTTTTTCTTTTTTTCTCTTAAATATTTAGAAAATGGTTCAGGCCAAGTGTCATTGTTGACAGTATGAGGGGACTATCTTCAACCTTCTCCATTTCACTGTCTTTCTCTACTTATCTTCGACCTTTTCTTTGTTTGATTATTGTTTCATTTTTTAGTCACACTCGTCCACTATCCATGTTGATTTGATCATGTTAGAAGTTGACTACCTTTATTTTGCTTCTCTTTTTTTACATACATATGTTTAATAAGTCTTTGCCCTTTCTTAAGAAAATAGTGAAAACTTTTATTTTGTTTCATATAAGTTCTTTTTTCCCTTGTCTTGTACAAGTTAGTTTATCTTTTTCCTTTAAGATTGATTTTTTTATTGCTTGGATGCACAATTTTTTTTTTCTTTTCGATGAATCTGCTGGGATACTAATAAGGAAACTCATTATGTTGACATTATCTTGAGTAGACAATTTTAATACTGAAATTATTTTTATAGTATTTTGGTTCCTATTAATGATGAAAATGTTAGAAATAATTCGATATTATTTCAAGATTAAATTATTCTACCGACAAATTATCGTAAAGAAAAATATAAAAAAGAATATATATAATGTCCAAATTAGTCCCCAAACATTTTATCGAAATGGTTATTTTGTCTTCTATTCTATTTTTGGAGCATTTTAACTCTTGGCGTTTCATTCTAGACGAAAAATGTCATAACATTTTATAGAATAAACACTTTGCTTCTTATTGTTTTTTAGCATTTTAGCCTTTAACGTTTTAATTTAGGTTTTAAAAGTTCCTATTTTGAAGCGTTAATCATGTGATATTTAATAATTTTCATCTATAGAGTGAATTTTTTGTTTCAAAGTGAAACTTTAGTGTCAAAATGCCTCCAAAAGATATGAATAAAAATGATCATTTTAATAAATATTAGAGACTATTTTTAAAATTATTCCTAAAATGAACCTAAAAGTTTCTAGAGGATGTGAAGCTACAGAAATCAACAAGGGACTTAAGTAAAGAATCTTTCAAAGATTTCTAGGAACTTGAGCAGGGATATTTGAGAGGCTTGTAAGGAAGTTGAGCAGATGATTTGGCAGTGACGGAGACAGCACATGACATATAAAAATAATTCAAACTAAAATTTATTGAGACATATATAAATAATTATTTTAAGATATATTCGTTCTTTTTTAGATATTTGAGAATATTGGACATCTATTTCGTAAGATACAACAACAATCATTCATTGACAATAGCACCCCTCCAGTGAACAAATTGAACTCAATCTTACCCCTTTTTTTACCACAC